GTCATCTGGGCTGGGGAGGGATCTGTTGAAGTGGTGAGAAAAGACTTCCATTCTGGGTGGATCAAGGAGATGGCAGGCGAGGTAGTGCTGGGACCTTTTATTCGCCCTTCCAGCGGAATTTCCCCTTGCTTATGGCCCAGGAGGCTGATTCATAGACTGCATCACCTCTGGCCTCCCTTTGGGTTTGGCCCAGGAGCGTCTTCTGCAGAAGATCAGAAGGCAGGATGAGCCTGAGGTCAGAGGGTTGTCCTCCCAGCATCCTCCCTTCCTCCCCTGCCACCGTGGGTTGACTGTGACTGTCTACCTGCGGCTACAGCTCTCCCCTACAGCTGCCCTCTCTGGATTCCAGGAAACTTTTCCCTGCCCTCCCTCCTTCCTTCACATCTAGGGGTAATGCCAGCTCCTTTTGTTGCTAGCTCCAGGGTACACCAGTAGCCTTTTATTGGGTTTCCTGAACCTTGCTCACAACTTTATAAATAGTCCCTTTATTAAGCTTTCCTCAGATTCTTGTGCTCTTGACTCACACTGGAAGCTAGGACATCTAATGTAGTAAAAACAGCAGAACACTTTTTTTTTAAATCACAGTTTTTTACTCATTTTTTTCCCCAGTGAAATGTTAAATCCTTGAGGACAGAAACTATCCTATTCATGTTTCTATTCTCATAACATAAGGTAAGTAGGGTTTGCTACCGTTGTATTAGTGAGTGTTATATGTAATGATGCCACGTGAGTCCTTAAGAATTGTTTAAATTATGTTTGATAGGAAAATTTATCAAAAGTAGGGTGTGTGTGTGCCCATCTTAGTGCTTATAGGTAATAAGCTTCACCTTGTTGGATAATTCAGTTCCCTGGGACCAAAGAGAGACTTTTAAGAAAGAGCTGGGTATGGCTTTCTTATTACTTGTTGTTCTCATGGAGATACCTAGACAATGGCTTCCTGATTTTACCAATTGTTTCTGAACTAGAAAGATAATGTATACTATTTGTTTCTACTTCCCCAAGAACATGAATTTTTTTCCCCAAGAACATAAATTTTTAACAAATAAAGATGTTGCCAGTATCCTTTTTTCCAGCAACTTAAAAGGTGGTTGTAATTTATTAAGGTTACCAGTTAAGTTACTTAAATTTGTATAACATTTTAAAGGTGATTATATTTAGTTATATACATTCTCAAGATTATCAGTGTGATTGTTTTCCTACCAATTTTTGGTTTTATTTTTGCATTTTGCTTTGATGTTTTCTTTTGATCTAAAGAACATTTTATCTTTAATCTTCACAATGTTTAATTATACTTCTATTGTTTTGTGACTTGTTCTTTTCTTTTTTTTTTTTTTCCTTTTTGACCTTGACTTCTTTCTTACTATTTCCTTAGAACCTTAAACATAGGCTGTGTGGCCTTGGGGTGTAGTTTTAATAAAAGCTTTGCTGAGTAGTCATTTGGTATAAAATCCCAACCAAATCCATTAATAGAAAAAAGAAAGCAATATCTTTCAAGGTTAACTTTCTTTGTGGTTGCTCCCACGAATAACACACACTCATTACATTCATTTAAGTATTATTGCCTGCCTATTATAATTTAAGGTCCATATTTCTGATAAGGACAACCAAAAAATCCCTAAGAGCAGATTATCAAGGAATTTATTCATTAGAGACAAATTCCTATACCATGGAGTTTTGCTTATATAAAATTGTTGTCAATACTCCAAGAAAATGTCCAGGAATACCCTCTTAATTGGATAGTTGGTTGTGTTTTAACTAAAATGGCAATGGCATGGCTGCCTTCTTTTTCTTCTTTTTAAATTTTTGACATTACTAAATAGTCTCACAACCTAAATAAATATACGGGGTTTTTTTAAGAGATAAACATGGGGCACCTGGGTGGCTCAGTTGGCTAAGCATCTGCCTTCGGCTCAGGTCCTGATCCCAGGGTCCTGGGAATCCCTGCTCAGCAGGGAGCCTGCTTTTCCCTTTGCCCCTCCCCCTGCTTGTGTAACACGCACCCTCTGTCTCTCTGTCAAATAAATAAATAAAAGCTTTTTAAAAAAATAAAGAGGTAAACATTACATTCTTTAAAGCACTTTTATTTTGTGGGGTTTAAAATTAATTTAATAACTTCATTTGGAAACTGAATAAGCCCTTAAAATCTGTGGGACATGTAGCCGCTCTCATTCATTGGAGAACTAGTCATTCAGGGTATCACCAGTAACTATGTATACAGTCCCCATTACCTCTCTTCTACTCTGCTAACCAGTAAATTACAACTACTTGTGAAGTTGTTATCCATTTGGAAACACAACTGTAACAGTGGTAAGAAATAGTGAAATAATGAAAAGTAACAAGCACTGACTTAACTATTTTACCTTTCTGAAAGTTTCCTAAACTTTCTATGAGACAGACAACCGAATTTAAACCTCCACTTCCCTGGGAAAGATGATAGTCACGCTGAAATCCCTGTGTTGAGTACAAGGAGAGGGACAAGGACTGACAAGAGGGGTCTGAAGGCCACCCCTTGTTCATTGAGAAGCTGTGTCCTTCGCATCAGGGAAGACTGTGCCTCCTCCGGCCATCTCTTAGCTCACTGGCCTTGTTCACCTTATTTATTTTGGCCCTCAAGATAGTAAGAGGTTTACTGTATTATTTGTTTTCAAGCTCTGCCCAGAGAGCACTCAGGTTTCTTGGCGTCTCCTCCAGAGTCCCACCGTGGGTGGAATAGGAGGCCCAGAGGGAGCGCTTTTCTCTTGTGATTGTTTGTTTTCTCCGTGAAGGATTGTATAGTTTTCAAAAATGTCATCACCTCTAAGATCCCTTCTAGCTGTGGAAAAGCTCATTATTCTGTTTGTAGTCTTTTTTCTTCATTTCTTTTTTGGGAGAGGGAGGCTTTTAGTCAATCGGGGTGAAAGCTAACCCTCTGAATACAGTTGAGGTAAAAGTGCTGAGTTCGTGTTTGGATCGGGAAGGTCTGGGTGAATCAACTCTTGTAAGAGTATCACTTTCCTTAAAAAGGGAGGGGGGAATATACATAGGATGTGAGCCCTAAAAGAAAATCCCCATATTTGGACAAAAGTTTGGAATTGGCAGCAGTGAGCAATTTAAGAGAACTCATGAAAAGTTCAAAAAAAAAAAACAAAAACTTACTAAAGAGTACATTTGGGCTGTTTTGTTCTTTTTTAATTTGAGATGATCATTGTAAATCAGTTGCCTTGTATTTCACATATAGATAATATACCCTATTACTTGCTTTGGGCAAATTTTTTTAAGCTTTCAGGAGTCTATAAATTAGAGTAAATTGGTATTATTTCTGTTTCATGATACATTGCTTCAAAAGTTACACATGGCTATTTTGAATTGAATTGTCCATGTAAAGAGAAAACCATAAAAGCCACTTGAATTATAGTTTCTATTGTCTATGGAATACCCAAACAAGCTTCTATATTAAAACTAAATAGTTAGGTCAATTTTCTAGCTATTTATAGAGACCTAATTTTTTTTTTTTTTTTTTTTTTTTTGTCATCTCATTGGGATAAGAACAAGTGAAGTAGTGGTTATTCTTGGATCTCACATTTAGCAAATCCTCACAAATTCTTTCTCTACATCGTATAATTGATTAATAGCACCAAATCCAGGGTCAGGCAGCCTGGATTCAAACTCTGGCTACGTGACCTTGAGCAAGTCATTTTACCTCTCTGTCACTATTTCCTTATCTGTAGTGGAAATAATTATGTTTCTTTCCTTGTAGTATTGTTGTGGAGAGTAAATGATTTAATAGGTGATGCACTTAGTACAATCCCTAACCTATAGTTGGCATGGTTTTGTATATTAGCCATTATTATAATATTGAGCAAGATCAGAGATTATAATCCTTAATGAAAATCCAACCTGTGATGAAGAGAGTCTATGTGCTCAGGTAAGTAGAAAGGTATAGTTGGGGACATGAGTTCAAGAAAAAATCTGGCAGCTTTCTACGAAAAGGATTGATACAAAGAGATACTGGAGTCTCAGGGACCAGTTAGGATGCTGTATTCCAGGCAAGAAGTAAAAATGTCCTGAACTGTCTCAGTCCATTCAGACTTCTATAACAAAAGTACTATAGATTGGGTGGCTTATAAAAAACAGAAATTTATTTCTCACTATTCTGGAGGCTAGAAGTCCAAGATGAAGGCAAGTCTGGTGTCTGGTGAGACCCACTTCTTGGTTCATAGATGGCCATTTTCTCTGTGTTCCCATATGGTGGAAGGGATGAGAGATCTCTTTGGAGGCCCTTTTAGAAGAACACTAACTCCATTTATGAGTTAAAAGCTCCACCCTCATGACCTCATCACCTCCCAAAGACCCCACCCCCTAGTACACATTTGGGGTTAGGATTTCAACATACAAATTTGAGGGGGAGGACACAAACATTCACCCGATTGCAGTGACCATTGTGGTGTTGATAGAAGAAGGAAATGATGTGTGAGAGGTTACAGATGTACAAGGAGCTTCAGGGGAAAGAATACACTAACCGACTTCCAAACTGGGGCACCAACCTTATGGATGTAACAAACACAGGATCGTTCTTTGGTTCCTGAACAGTTTCTATATATTGAGAATTAAGGAATGCAAAATTTGAAAGACTAATAAAGATTAAAAGTGATCATATCATTATGCTGTTATTATATAATTAATAGCTAATCAACATCATAAAGAAGCATGTAGGTAAGAATAAGATCTTTTAAAGAACTTAAGAAAAATATATCCTATTGTTCTGATTATTTCACTCAGATTCCTACATTATATTGTGTCAGGATGGAGATTTGTTATTCTTAGATTCTCGTCTTATATCCCAAGACTGTTGATGTAGTGATGTAGTGATGGGAGGAACGCAGACATAAATCTGTTGAGAATTAAACCATCACCTTCTGCATTTGATCCAGCATGCTGTATATCTAAAAATATGTATGTAATTATTCAGAGTTGCAAATAATGTTAGTCTGTTATTTCATAAGCATTTTTATTATTTCCAGGTCCGATGGATGATGTACTGGATTGTTTTTGCTCTCTATACTGTGATTGAAACAGTAACAGATCAAACAGTCGCTTGGTAAGTTCTAGCACTGAGAAAGGGCCAGACTATAGACTCTTTATCAGGTGTCCCGAGTTCTTACCCTGCTCTTGCTGGTAACCAAGTGAATTTGATCAAGTTACCTAATTATCCAGTGTTTCATTTTCTTCATCTCGTTTCCCTGTAAGAACATTACTTTCCTTACAGGTCCCACTCAGATAAAGGCAGCTCATTCTTCTCCCCATGTGTCGCTCCCTGCCTTCCTCCCACACAGGTCCCAGTATCTTGGAATAGAAAAACTTGGTAGTCATTATCCTTTTTCCACACAATGACTTCAGGCTATTTTTCTTTATCACTTCCTAAATGACTCCCCCTTTGAAGCCCACAGCATCTGGTTCTAGCACTCCCTCCCCATCCTTAAAACTCTCAACTACAAACATTCAGACCGGATGACGTCAGCATCCGCGTGGACGCCCACTCACCACCAGCTCCTTGGCTGCTCTGTTCCAAATAGCTGAGACAAAATTAAAACATGTTTATATCCTCAAGGATTTAACATTTTACCAAGAAGTAATACCAAATGGAACAACTTGAATCTCCTTGTGCCATATTTCACTGGTGCATTTCCATCTAAACCTTACCATCACTTGGAGAAGTCCTCCTTTTAAAATCTTTAAACGGGCACCTGAGTGGCTCAGATTTGGTTAAGCATCTGCCTTCGGCTCAGGTCATGATCCCAGGGTCCTGGGATCAAGCCCCACATCGGGCTCCCTGCTTCTCCCTCTGCCTCTCTCTCTCTCTGTCTCTCTCTGTCTCTCATGAATAAATAAATAAAATCTTTAAAAAATATAAAAATTTAAAAAAAATCTTTAAACTTAATACTTTGCTTCTTTACCTGGGCTCCCAAAGGCAGCCCCCCAGAACATCAGTCAGCTGCTCATATAGGTATCAATTTGAACCTCCCCATTCCCTTTGCTCGCTACCTCCATACCCTCCTGCATCTGTTTAAGACATTTGCTGTTCTCTCCTTAAACTGTCTTTCTAGCTTTGCTCTTCTCATCATACTCTCACAGCACATTAGGTCACGTTGGATTGCTAGAAAAAATAGAGAAGTCATCAGACTTAAATGTTCTTAACACTTGCCCTCATTTATGAACTTCTCTGTGTCTGCACCCATCTTTCTCTTCTGATTTGAAACAAAACTTGTCCTTGCTGTATCCCAAAGCTCATTCATTTTCCTGTTAAGTATTTGGTGTAGAGTTTTGGGGGAGGGTTTTTTATTTGGTTTTAAGGAGCAGAACAGATTTCAAACCATGCTAGGTCTCTCTTAAGTTTCAAGGTTCTCTTTTTAAAGACCTCATTTTTTCCTGATCGCAGCTGTAGCATATATACATTATTAAAAAACGAATAATGTAGCAAAAGTTTACCAGGAACAGTGGAAGTCCAGAAACTCCTCTGTAACTGCACCAGGCAAAGACCCTTTGTTGACTCCACAGCAGTCATTCCTTACCGCCCTGTATCCCTCTGCCTCATCAGGAGAGCCCAGATTTGTTCAGATATCACGTATCTTAATAATTCCTGGTCCAAGAATGCTAGTCCCCTACGGTATATTAGTTCACTTTTGCTGTGGCAGTGGACAAACCTTTTAACCACAGCGAGTTAGAAAAACAAACACGTGTTTCTTGCTCAAGTTATTTAAGGGCAAAAGGTTGGCTGCAGCTTTGCTGGGCTCAGCTCAGTTTTAAGTGTCTTCTCATTTCAGGACCAAGGCTGAAGAAGCAGCTGTTCTCATGCCAGAAAGTAAAAATTTAAAGCAAGAGGTTGGGGGTGTCGGGGTGAGGAAGTCAACGGGTATTTAAAGCTTCTGCGCGCATGGGATATGTCAGACTCACGTGATGTTGGCCAAAGCAAGTCACATGTCTACACCTGCAGTCATTGCTTGAGGAAGTGTACTCAGCCTACAGGGAGAGAGAGCACTGCAGAGTCACATGGAAAAGGGCGTGCGTGGGTGGATAACGCTCATTCCCAGTCTGCCGCATGGGAATTCCATTCCCCTTACAAGTGAATCATTGTCTGCCCAGCGTCGCACTTCCGGCCAAATGAGATTGGAAGGGAAGTTCTTGGGGGCTTCTGAGAAAGAGAAGGAGATGTGTTCATGGGGTAACTTTGTGCCCTTGGAGCATGTAAAGCTTAGCCCTGGTGAGTGGAGAGATGTCAGGTACCGACATGTGGAAGGGTCGGGGGTGCCCCTCACCGCCCTGGGTACATGCTGTTAATGTTCTCTCTGGATGGCTACAGTCCGTTGGCAGCTTGCCTGTGGTCTTTTCAACAGAAGAATCTTGTACTAGAAGTTGCTGAATCTCTGCAGGAATCAGGTTCCTCTTTGCTTAGAATTCATCTGTAGTTAATGAAATTAAGTCAATTCAAACATAGTTCTTTTGTTAATCACTCACTTTTACATGTGAAAACTTGGTGATTGAACTTTCTTAAAAGCTTGTGTGCATGCGTGCATGCATGCGGGTGTGTGTGTGCGCACGTGTGAGATTTCCTCATTGTACTTTAGTTTCATCCGCGGTTTTTTTCAAATTTGTTCTTGTTAGGTTCCCCCTGTACTATGAGCTTAAGATTGCCTTTGTCGTGTGGCTGCTCTCTCCCTATACCAAAGGAGCAAGTTTAATATATAGAAAATTCCTTCATCCGCTTCTTTCTTCCAAGGAAAGGGTAAGATATATGTTATTTCTACAAATCGTTCGTTAGAAATGTACATCATCGAATGGTTTGTGCTGTAAAACGAGTGAAACTATCATTTCATGGGGGAAGGTGGTTGTTTTTGGCTTCTTGACGCTCTTGGTCAAATAAAGTTTCTACCTGTGAGTCTGTCTGTCTCTCCCCAGGAGATAGATGACTATATTGTCCAAGCCAAGGAGCGGGGCTACGAGACGGTGGTCAGCTTCGGCCGGCAAGGACTGGCTTTTGCAGCCACTGCTGCGGTCACTGCAGCCGTGAAGGTAACTGTGCAGTTCCAGGTTTTGCCCAGTGTCACATTAAAGCCAAGGGACAAAGTCAGGTGGCTTTATATTCCAGATCATTATAAAATTTTGGCAGAATTTTGCTTTCGGCTTATTTTTGTAAAGCTGGAAAGAACAAGGGGATAATTCAAAAAACATTTTAACGCATGTATTTTGTAACTGCTCAATATTTTGAAAGTCTTAATTGATCACAAAATGAGAGCTAATTAATATAGAAAGACATACCTGAAGATGTCATTTTGTCGTAATTTTCCTGCTTTATAACCTTAAAGTAAGGTTGAGTAAATCACCTTTAGTAAAGATGACCCATTCTTTCTTTCCCTGTCTCTGGTGTTTCTCTCTCTCTCTCTCTCTCTCTCTCTCTCGATGGCAATATCTTGGTAGGATTTCTGGCTTACTCCTGCACCCCTACTTCGACCAATTTGAGGTAACTGATTATTCAAAATAAGGCATGAAAAAATTCTGTTCTTAAAACTTGAGATTTTAGCCAGTTACTAATGTCATGTGTTGTGTTTTGCAAGTGAAGTTATCAAATGTATGCCTTCTGTGAAAACTCACATTATGGCTTTTGGATTTCTTTGCATGTAGTATTTAATGTGGTTTATTTTAAATACCGTAGCATAATTGATTTTGATGTGTAGTATATGGAAAGAAAACAGGCTTCAGATCCAGAAAATGCTGAGTGACTTTCTAAATAACTGTTGGTGATTTACTTAATCTCTGTGTTCATCAGTTGCTTCATATATAACGTGGGAGAATATACCTGTCTGTGAGAGGATATACAAAAGCACAGTGGTTGCCAAAATATAGTAGAACTCCAATGAACGTTAATATACATGTCTCTCCCTCTCTCTCTCTCAAGTGACATTGAGTTTGTTGCTATTAAGTTAAATTGAGATTAAATAGTATTCCAGCTTTTGAGTTAGGCTTTTTCAACTTGGTTATCTTAAACCAAAATACCAATGCTATGGGAATAAATATTATAATTAAGTGGTGATTCTATATAATAGTAATGGTGAAGGGATGTCAAATGTTAAATGGGGTTTCCAGAATGATCCTTAATTTTTCAGAGTGATCTTTGGCTCAAGTACAGTTAATATGATCAACAAAATTAAAAATCAAAATTATATTCAAATTATATACCCAGAAGTGTTGCATTAAGAATTAAGTGGAAACTTACTAACTGTGCAGCCCTAGCCATGTAAGACAACTGTATTATTAATGATTATTAACTATCAGCACTGTAGTGAAGTATAGTTCGCCTATTACTTGGCTTTTAAAGGCTTTTTCTTTTATTAGTATAGATATAAACGAATACTAAATAGTAAAATTTTCATCTTATTGAAGAACTGTTTTCCATTTTTTAAAAAAGTTCATTTGCTTTTTATTTCTTGCTTAATGAAAATACATGCCTGATTCCCACATGTACTATAAAAGAGCATCCAAGAGATCTAATATTCAACAAGTAGGAATTCTACAAGAAATCACAGATGGCAGTTATCAAAGAAATGATACAATATGATCTCACTGATATGAGGAATTCTTAATCGCAGGAAACAAACTGAGTGTTGCTGGAGTGGGGGGTGGGGTGGGAGGGATGGGGTGACTGGGTGATAGACACTGGGGAGGGTATGTGCTCTGGTAAGCGCTGTGAATTGTGCAAGACTGTTGAATCTCAGATCTGTACCTCTGAAACAAATAATGCAATATATGTTAAGAAAAAAAAAAGAAGAAGAGGAAGGTAGCAGGAGGGGAAGAATGAAGCGGGGGAAATCGGAGGGGTGGACGAACCATGAGAGACGATGGACTCTGAAAAACGGGCTGAGGGTTCTAGAGGGGAGGGGGGTGGGAGGATGGGTTAGCCTGGTGGTGGGTATTGAGGAGGGCACATTCTGCATGGAGCACTGGGTGTTGTGCACAGACAATGAATCATGGAACACTTCATCTAGAACTAATGATGTAATGTATGGGGATTAACATAAGAATAATAAAATAAAAAAAAAAACAGCAAACTGAGGCTCAAAGAAAAGAATACACTTGCCTGTGCTCAGGAAGTGGTCGAGCCAGGATTCAACCTAAAGGAGGAAGATTTGGAGCCTGATCCTTGGTCCAAATCACCAATTCTGAGAATTATTTGTGAATTCATTCATCCTTTCTACCCTAACCCAAGGCTACTGCATACAAAATATATATTTCTAATATTATGAAAAAAAAAAAGAAATGATACAATTATATTTCACAAAACTGAAGGACATGAGTCTCTAGATTGAAAAGGCCCACTAAGTAAAGTACCCAGCACAATGAATGAAAAGACCGACTGTGAGCAAGGTCATTGGAATATTCCAAAACACGAGAAAGAAGGAAAAAAATTTTAAGGATTCCAAAGATAAAAAGTACGTCACATTCAGATGATCAAGAATCAGAATGGCAATTAAATTTCTAAATAGTGACAATGGAAGCTTGAAGACCAAAGAATAATACCATCCATGAAAACATAATGATTTTTACCCTCAGATTCTATAAGAGTCAAGCTGTCAGTCATGTGTGAGCTTAGAATAAATCTTTTTTTTTTTTTTTTTTTTTTTGAGGCATGTAAAGTCACAAAATTGACCTCCTGTGTGTTCTTTGTCAGGGTAGATGTGCTCTGCCAAAATTAGGGACTAGTCCATGAAAAAGGAAACCCACAGGATCTAGGAGACAGGGGGTCCAACACAGAAGGAAGGTGACAGGACTTCTTCCCAGGATAAATGTGCAAACGTGCAAGTCCAGAGTGCACCTGGCCAAAATGGGATGTGATGGGTGCAGGGTGCCAGGACAGGGATCGCAGGGAAAAGCACGGGGAGGAGATTATCTAATAGGTTTAATCCTATGCAGGGATGATACTTAAACTAGTTAGTACATGCTCCGACCAGTCAGAAGACACACTACTCACCATGAAAAATGTGCTGGAGGCAGTGTTGAGACAGAGGGCAAAGGACAACTAATCAAGTGAATACTTAAAAAATGGGATAATTGTTAGCTCTGGGAAATAAAGTTATATAAGAAAGGAAATATAATAATGGAGCATGACTCGGCCCAGCAGCAAACAGCATGTACATCATAATCCTGAGAATACAGACTGTAGATTGAACAACTGTGATTTTGCTCTATCAGGAAAATGGGGGAAGGAGAGAAGGAGTTGGAAGAGAGAAAATCCTCACCTGCCAGACAGGAAAGTAGAGGGTTTAATGGTGCCTGCAGGAGGGTGTACAGGAGAACAAGAAAGCTTATTGCTTTCTTTTGTTAATAAAATTTAACTTTATTTGACTTCACAAATGAAGTGCAGTTGACCCTTGAACAATCAAGGGTTTCAACTTGTTGGATCCAATTATATACCAATTTTCTTCCAATAAATACAGTACAGTACTGGATATATGTATTTTCTCTTCCCTAAGATTTTCTCAGTAACATTTTCTTTTCTCTAGATTACTTTATTATAAGAGGACAGTATACAATACATATGACATACAAAGTACATGTTAATCAAGTGTTATCAGTGCGGCTTCCAGTCACCAGTAAGCATATTAGTTAAATCTCAAGGGAGTCAAAACTTAGACGCAGATTGTTTACTACCCAGTGAGTTGATGCCCCGAACCCCCACGTTGTTCAGGGGTCAACTGGTACAGGTCTTATACCCCCCAAGAGGATGCTTTCTGAATTTTACATATTTAAAAGCATCATTCAGTATGATTCTATGGCATAAAAACTAAAAATTAGATTTCAGCTTGAAACATTGCTTAGAAAATATGGACATTTTAGAACATTGTTCTGGGAAACAAAAGCATACAAATCCTGTTTTTCCTCCTCTCTTTTTTTTTTTTTTAAAGATTTTATTTTTTTGACAGAGAGAGAGACAGCGAGAGAGGAAACACAAGCAGGGGGAGTGGGAGAGGGAGAAGCAGGCTTCTCACGGAGCAGGGAGCCCAATGCGGGGCTCGATCCCAGGACCCTGGGATCATGACCTGAGCCGAAGGCAGATGCTTAACGACTGAGCCAACCAGGCGCCCCTCCTCCTCACTTTAACACTTAAAATATCGTTTCTAGTCCTGCTATTCTGTGAGACACCTTCCTACATACCATGACCATTTCATGGGATATTTATTTTACTTGGACATACGGTTACTACTTCCAAACCCTCTATGTGGGGAATCAGAAATCCCCACTATATTATCTTATCCTCATTCTATCCTCTTCTATTTTTATTTTCTCCTTTGCTGTGATCAGTGTTTAGCATCCTGTGTATTTGTTCAACATCGGTTTGTTTAATGCCTACTATATGGCAGGTGCTGGGCATGCAGCCGTGGGCAAAATAGACACAGTCCCTCCTCTGACAGGCTGCTCTCTAGCTAAGTGTCTGTTTTCATTAACTGAAAATTGTATCTCATCTTAGGTTGCTAAGAGCTTTCCCCCTGCCCTCCCATTATTAAAATAAGCATTAGCTCACAGAAATGCTTTCCTTCAGAAAGGCTTTAAAAGCATTTCTTCTTTGTGATTCATTGTTTGTTTTTATCTGTATATTTAGCATCATAAAACCACCTCCCCACTTCAAAGGCTGGAAATAGAGAACGTAAGAATCATCTAAGTTACCACTGCAAATCAGACACATGTCCCATAATTTGAATTCATTTTGCAACTTTCCCTTCTCGTTTGTGATGTGGTGTGGCGGTCCTTTTGTTATCAAGATCACTGTGTGTGAGGTAGCCCTTGCTATCCTCAGCATGAACACAATGTATGTTGGCTTCAGCCATCCTGGATTTTATTCATTAGAAATGGTCATTAAATATGCTGAACATAGCATTATGTTAATACTATTTGCCTCAAGTTGTACTGTGCCTATTTTCGTGTGAGTGAAATTAGTTTCATCTCTGGAGATGTCAAAGAAAGGCACTGTGATGGAAGAAATCACTGAACCAGACACTTATACTAATGAGTAAATTGAA